CTGTACAAACCCAAGAAAAGATGCAGCTTCTTTAAGGTGTTCCGATAGGTGCAGCATGCATGCCTACACTTGCTCTGAACCATCTTTTGGCTTTGGATCTGGAGCATTTTATATCCCTGATGCATACTTTATACCACTGTTCCTCACGCTGGCTGGAGAATTCTGGGAGTTGAAGTCCACACGTCTTCAAGTTGCCAAGGCTGAGAAGCACTGCTTTATATGCCCCTTCAGAACGAAGCCCTCTGAATTTGATGGGCCTTACTTTCAAGAATATTTCTGTCGGATTGCAGCAGAAATATTTGGTCCACAGTAAAAATCTTGTCCTTGTAACCATGGTGATAGGCTGTAAATGTCAGCCCTTTGAGGTAGTCCAGACAGGAAACCAAAACCATGAGTACTAATACTATCTTTGTTGTAAGATTACAGTAACAGAATCTTGCAGGTCTGAAAGCACTTCCCCCCTCCCCGCCTTTACTTTCCAGACAGCTAAGGAGGGTCCCTTCTGAGACACTTTCTCCACCTTCATCCCTCCTTTGGACTCAGATTTTATCAGACCATTGTCTAGGTTGCGGCTCTTCCTCTTGTCTCCCAAGGTTATTCTCGCAGCCCATTATAGCTGCGACAGCATACTGCAGCTGCAGCATACATAAATAAATTGGACTACTGTGGTGCATTATACTCTGTGAGGGATTCTCCCTGAAAACCACTTGGTCACACTTATACAAATTGGAATGTGTAATACACCAGGCCTGAGTAAAAGCAGTGCCATCTTGTGAACTTTTGGTCATGAAGTGTAAGTCTGGATCTACCTAGCAACAGCTCCTTGTATAAAAACAAGCAGAAGAAAAAGAGGAGTTGAATTGCTTCTCTGTCTGGACCAGATTTCTCCCATCACCCCTAGCCAATACCTGGGCAACTTGGTTGAGTGGGTAAGGTGAGATTGTGTGTGTGTGTGTGTGTGTGTGTGTGTAGCTTGCTTTACTCAAGAAAAATAAAGCTTTATTGTTTTGATTTCACTTAAGTACTGTGTAATCTTTGAAGAACCATTTATACACGCTATTCAGATATGACCAATGCTGGTGCTTGAATTTTGAAGGGGGAAAAGTGTTGGGATCATGCAATCACTTTATTCTATCAGTTGTTTCTGAGTAGTTTATAAGCTGTTTTGTATTACTTCCTTTTGGAGAGGAAAGTAGGGTATTGTCTTTTTAAAAAAATGAATAAAATTTAATTTTTCTCCAAAGCTAGATATGGTCTCAATACGTTCTATTGGTTGAGAACATTTTTTAATGTCTGGTGTAGCTAATTGTCCATTTTCATGTCTGCCCCAAGGAGTAGATAGGTTTGTTTTTGCTTCAGCACAGACTGATACTTTTGCTGGGTACAAAGCAGCGGAGCATAGAAAGACGTTTGGTTCTCTTTACGCTGACTTAAATTTTTAAGAGAGTTGGTATGTGTAGCTTACAATTTATGTTGGAAGCTATCTAGCAAGGATAGCTTATACTATCATAGATCCCTATTAAAGTAATACCTTTACTTGGTTATCTGGAGGTTTACAAGATAGTCTGCAAGCAGTGAAGCTTCCAAGAATTGTTCATCAGGCAAGATGGCTAATCGAAGGGGTGGTGATAGGGACGGAAAAATAAAAAGTGGCTGATGTTTAAGCAGTTTTACAGTCTTGGGTGAATTGTGGGAGGGTTTGTAAACATGCTTATTAGATTGCATTTGGTCCAGAACTGGCACTAGATCACACTAAATCCTTGCTAGGAAGAAGAAGCAGCTATAAAATGATTGTTTTTCCTTTTTGGAAATACAGCTTCCTGCTGTAAAAGTAACATTTGTTCCCACATTTGGTTACCTTCGTTTTCTTTCCTGTTTTGTTAATAAATCGTGCTTAAATGGTTAAAATGTAAATCTTTGCATCCTACTTCATTCATTTAGGATAAGCTATAATCAAGGGCAAACAATATATCAGCTAATTTTTAAATGTATTCTATTATTTGTTAATAGATTATAAAGTATTAGGTACAGGGACACAGGAAATAAGAGATCAAGAAAAGAAAATGGGACAGAAATTGTTAGCATGGGAAAAATATGGAAGTGGTAGAAACATTTAGTACAGTAGTTTGCATGCCTATATAGGTTCATCTCATGGTGTAACAGCCTTTTCTGTATTCTTATTATGTATGATATGTTAAAGTTGCTCCCTAGGGTTTTTGTATTTATTTTACATTTGTTTACATCTGCTTGGAATAGCTGTGACTGAAATCAAATCATATTATATGGTAATTATATTATTTGCTTCCTAATTCATTATCCTCCATGGTTGTATATCTGTAAAATTTAATAGCAGCTACATCTGGTTCAAAACATTCTTCTGTGATTACTAGAGCTGGATTGAAATAGATCAGAAAGTACTGCAACATCCTAAGAGGAAATATTTAAAGTTAACATTTCTCTGAGACTGAGAGACCTGTAAGGAACTTGCTTCATTCTTATATTCATCAACACACTTAAGCTTCGGTTTATGATTTACTTTAGCAAATAGTGAAGACTGACCACAGTTCAAGGTTCAGACCTAACACTAAATTAATTAATTTAAAATTGAAGTAGTGAAAGTTTCCAAGCTGCTGTTTGTGGTTCTGCTAGATGAGAAGAGGGAAGTAAAGAGAGTTGGGAGCCATAGGGCTAGTTAAGTTACTGTCATAAATGACAGTAGGGTTAGGGAATTTTAGGCTTGCCAAATCATAGAATCTGCCTTTCGGGGCCCCAGGAAAATCTCTTCTTCCTCCCCAAAGCCCACAGACATCTGTCTCGTCACTGGTAATGGTTGTAAGCAACACTTTTCTGTGCTTTGCCTGCCTCACTTCTTTTGCAAAAGAGAAAAGTATGGCTCAGGTGAAGCTTTGCTTGTCCTGCCTTTTCTCCTTGGAAGAGTTGCAAAATAAGTTAGCTACTCCAAGGGCCAGCATTTGAAGGTGGTTCCAGAGAGATGTGCCACCAACATCCAGTTTTGTTTGCTTTTTTTTTTTTTTTTCCCAAAAGCATCAACAGGCATAAAGTGGCCAACGAGCTGGGAATCCCATATTAGGGATTAACTGATAGTTGTCCAGATTGGCTAGATTGAGAGATGGCTTCTTTAGAAGGGGCACCATCACCCCCTCTTTCAAGATTAATAGACCCTGTCTTCTCTCAGAGAAGCATTAATCACAGCCTGAATTGATCCCAAACACTTTTCCTAGCTAGATGAATCAGCTAAGCAGGACAGAAATCTAGTTGCAGGCGACAGAGTTCATGTGACAGAGAGCCATATTCACTTCATCAGTCTCAACAAACAAAAGAATCCCAGATAATCTTTCAAGACATTACTCACGGCACTTCACTATCCCTGCCCAAGTAGAGTCCACGCTGAGTGATTTTTTCCTCAAAAAACCTTGCAAACATATCACAGCAGCTTGCAGGAGCAACTTTATTCTAGCCTTTTCCTTAAAGAGAGCAGGTAGCCTTGAACAGAATTGCTGAATGCAAGTCTTCAGACACAATAAGAGTGGAGAAGTGAACATGCTCACCAGCAGCAGCTCTATCCTGTCCCTGTAGGCACTCACATCCAGTTGCTTGTGGGGCAGTGTTTCTGGTTGCAGCTCAGATCTCATAAACCATAATTGCCATGCCTCCTCCCTGACCATGGCACTGCGGTTTCTGGAGCAGGCCAATTTCAGACAGGGATATGTCATCATCTTCACCCATTTAGGTCTCTGTGATGGAAGCCATATCTCTGCTTACATCCTCTTCCATGTTGTGGGGGAACACAGTCTTATTATACACAGTTCTGGCACTAACCTGGGCCATCAGAATCCTGTCCTCTGACCGTAGGACTGAGGTTGGAGGGCTGGAATTTGGGGTCTGCACCACATTTCCAATCTTCCTTCCTGTAGAACAGGTAGCCTGCTGCCTTCCATCATACCTTCTATGACCATTACCATAGAAATATATTCCCATGTCATTTTCACTTCCCAAGACTCCCATTCATAACCTGTATGATGCTGAGATTAACTCTTCAATTTCTGAAAATGCCAATTCTTTATATTTGGTCTGCTTTTACACATTTACCTACAAGCATACATGGAAGAAAAATATGAGAATTAAAACACTCTTTCTTTTGCACTCCTTTAAAATTCCTCACAGAAGTCTAGACAGAGGTCAGCGTTCTTCCTCTTAATTTTATATTATTTATAAAACATTTTTATTTTAATAAATTTCACATTATATAACCAAATAAAATAATTAGCCAGCTGACTATCTTTACAAGTAAGGTCAGTGTGGGAGAAAGGATACTTGTACTTGACTAATACAGTCTCATTTTTTGGGAAGACAGTTGGGTTGAAGAAGAAAGGAAATAGTCTAACCTAATTTAATTTTAGTCAGATGCGCCTCATCAATGGTTTCCTAACTTGTAGTTGTTGTATGTGTATCTGCACACAGCTAGAGTTTGAGGCTTTTGTTTTGAACATAGTAATTTTAGTAATTTTGCTGATCAATGAAAAGATAAGTTATTTTGGCATTTTATCCTGGTATGTTGGTTTGTTATTTGAAATTTCTTTTGCATTGGAAGGCCATTTATTCTTTCCTTTTTCCTATGCTCATTTAATGTGGAAAGTCTCCTTGCTGAATTTAGATTTTTTTTATTATATAAATACAAGATTTTTATGGCATTAAAAGCAATAAAATTATGAATTGATATCACTTTAAGATACCTTGCATTAAACTATTTGTTACTATTTCATATTTAATCAAGAAGTCGTTAACCTGATGCGGAAGTTCTTTAGATTTAATGCCATTTTACAGTATTTTTTAAAATAATATTTCACTGATGATATACAAGCCATTTTCAGTACCTGGCAAAATTGGTTTTGTTATTTTGTCTTGCAGTTGGTAAAAGTTTAGCCTTTTCCTAAGATGTGTGATTAGTAGTAATCTCATTTGTTTTCTTTCTTTTGCAGAATACTGTACAGGTTGCAGGATATAGATGGTGCCTTATCACTTCTCATGGCTTGCACTCAACAGTATATGATCCAAATGAAAAGGTAACTATTTATGTGGACTTGCTTTCTGATACAATATAGCTTTATCAAATTTAAAAAGAATTGATTTAAACAGAAATGGCTGCCAAATTTTGAACAATGGGCAAAGCTGCCTTCATGAAGGAATGTGAGCGACAAAATTTATAATCAGAGTGTGCTAATGTGGAAGATATAAGACTGGCTGATTGAAAAGGAATTGATAAAAAAGCCACAAAAGACGTGAAACTCAAAACAAACCCAAATGTACAGATTTTAATGGAACAAAAGAGGCTGTGGGAATTGGAGATTAGACAAAAAAGAGGTGCAGAGAGAAGCCAGAAATTTCAGGGGAAGTGAGAAATGAAGTTCAACTTCAGCATGAAAAGGACATGTTGGACTTTAAGAGTCAATTAAAAGATACTGATCCTCCTGTGATTTACTGGGGAAAGACTCCTACACCTTTCTGTCAAGTTGTATAACTTCTGAGTTGAATAATTTTATTGCAGTTAGTGACCAGCCATGTGTGTCAAAAAGGAGATAGAACAGCATAGAAAACATAAAATCTATGCTTTATTTAATATTTTCGCATGGAAAACAGTAGCAGCTGTTAGAAATTTTATGACTGTTCTGGAAATGTTAAGGTTGGCCTGATAATATAAAGCAAATAAAATTGTTCTCAAAATGGGTGGAACTAATGTTAGCAACCGGAGTTTGTGTAATTAGTTCAATTGAATTCAATTGAATTCAATTCAATTTAGGGACTGCCCAACTCTAACTGATTCTTGGTAGCTCACAACATAATACCAATGAAAAAAAACAATACAGACAAAAACTAGATGGCATCTAGTCACTATATACAGGCAAAAGCAAAAATAACAAAGGCACACCAACAAGGGGCCCCATCCATCTTAAGCCAAAGCCTGTGAGAACAACCAGGTGTTTAAGGCTTTACCAAACGTTATCAGGGTTGGGGCCACACAAATTTCAGGGGGGCCTGAGTTCAGAAGGCAGGCACCACAACAGACAAGGCACACTTACTGGGTACTGAGATATGACACTGTTTAATTGAAGGGACCTGGAGAGTGCCAACTCTGCTGGCACATACAGGTTGGGCAGAAACCATGGGAGATAGAAAATTCCAAGTGTATCCGTCAGTCCTAGAAGGTTCCTTATCCCAGAATTAAGGTATGTGGGACTATAAAAAGAGAACGCACAAAACATAGAAAGGGATTCTCTGTGTTCTTAGGGCTAACAGACTAGCCTTTCAATGTTGGAAAACTATATTTATTGTCCCAGTTGCAGAGTGAATTGTAGACCTGAAGTTACTTACAAGTTACAAATGAATTGCTTACAGATATAGATGATGTATAGATTATTACAAAATATGGTCATCCTTTATTGAAATTGTAGTGTAAAACTTCTTATACACATACACACATTCATATATTGTATATGTAAAACATTTCTGTGGTTATTTTGTCCTCTTTTTCCTTTTTTTAAAATCATTTTTTCCATTTGTTCTGCTTAATTAAACAGGTAAAGGTTTTAAAAAAGAGAATGCACCAGTTTACTTTAAGTCTGGTAACCATTCTTAGGCCAGGTTTTTTTTTCTGTGAAAACACAGACATTTTAAAAAAAATCATTTTTAATATATTTAGTGATTAGTTTCCACATGTTTGCGTTCATTGGGTGAGGCCAAACGTAGCTCTAACGATCTCTGTGTTTGTATTATATTTACGAAGAATACTTTTTTCTCCCTCATTCCTTCCTCCAGACCTTTGAGAAGCTTCTTATTGCAAACAGAGGAGAAATTGCCTGCAGGGTAAGTAACTTCTCAGAATTGTAGTTCTTTTGTAGTTCTTTGATTTTTACTTGAAGCATTTAAGTAAAACAAACATTTTTTCTCTCCCCACTCCCTGGCCAGGTAATTAAAACATGCAAGAAGATGGGAATTAAAACAGTTGCCATACACAGTGTTGTCGATTCCAGTGCTGTAAGTACCCACCATTTCTTGTAACATTACTTTCAAGATTATTATCTATGTTGATCCCATCCAAATACTGAATTAATATTTGCCATTACTTTAAGTTACATTTTAATAAGATATTCCTACCTAAGAAAATGTCATTTTATAAATCCTTTTTATTCAATCAAATATACTGTATTTTGAAAAGTACGTTGAGAGGAAGCCTGGAAAGAAGAAGAATCTCCTATGTTAACATACTTTCTACCATATATTTACTAAACATGTAGTTCTAGAGATGTTGCATACATCTTCAAAATCTCTCTACAGCTCTATCTAGGGAAATTATAATTTATAATTATGTAATTAGAAATCATATATGGGATTTTCAGCCAAGTCAGTAACATAAAGGTAATTTTTTTTTTAAACAAACTATTTTTAACCAATGTAGAGTACAGTTAAAACGTTAGGTCAGAATTTCATGCACCAGGACATATATATTTGGAAAATAAAGAGTATTCAAGGGATGCATAAGAATAGTCCATATCATGGGTGGCAAGTTTACTTTGAAATCCAAGTAGGGATGTGAATAGACAAAATCTTCATCAACATCTTCGTCACTGATAGATTTTAGTTCTTGCTGAAGTCTTTCTGCAATGAAAGTGAACATTGCAACTAATGTAGTGCACTGCATTAAGCTGCATGAATTGAGGCTCTGAATTGGTGAACTTAACAAAACTGCATGCTTTCCAGTCAGTTATCAAGCTTCTGGAGGCTTATTGTATTTCGCTACAAATTATTTGTCACCCAGCATATCAGAAGCTGATAAGAGTCTAGATGGGAGTGTTACCTCTGGAATGATTTAGAGTGGGAATTGTTTTTTTTTAATGGATTATGGATTACATTTTATTATTTGGTTGAGTTTTTTTTGAATTTCTGTGTTTTTTAAATATGATTTTTATTAGAAATATTTAAAGAAATAAAAAATAAACATAAAAATATATAAAGGAAAGTTAAGAAAAAGTATGAAAAACAATGCAGATAGAAAAAGAAAAAAGAAAAATATAATTAAAGAAGCAACTTCCAATCTTTTTTACAACAGTTACAAACAAACCTAGTAGCTCTCCTCCCTCTCTAAAGAGTGGGAAAAATGTTTTGATGGATATTTTCACTAGCAGTTCTATCGATATTTCTTGGAGATCTCATTGTGATTTGCTTTGATTTGAATATACACTTGCTGCTCCTTGCTGTGGCTCAAATTTGACCCTAGTGGTAATATTGCATGATACGTTTTTTGGTGCTGACCCCAGAAAAAGTGTGATTGTTTAAACTTTTTTCAATCAGCATTGCTGTAATGGGGGTGGAATTTAGGTTTAGGGAAGTGGCAGCCTTACTACTGGAAATGCAACAATTTAGTCTAAATCAGTGAAATGAGTGGACTTCAACTGGCTGGCTGGGGAATTCTGGGAGTTGAAGTCCACTCATCTTCAGTGAAATGAGTGGACTTCAACTGGCTGGCTGGGGAATTCTGGGAGTTGAAGTCCACTCATCTTCAGTGAAATGAGTGGACTTCAACTGGCTGGCTGGGGAATTCTGGGAGTTGAAGTCCACTCATCTTAAAGTGGCCAAGTTTGGACAACACTGGTCTAAATGATCCTTTTGGACTTAACAACATACAAAGGGAAAGAAACTGCTATGCATGTGAGCATGATGGATGGTAGAATGAAAGCATGTTGAATGGCAGAATTAAAGGAAAATAAATGTGGCTTCTATAATGGCAAAAAATACCTTTATGTCCTAAAAATATTCAACAATCCAATCAGGATAACCTCATGCTATTTACTTTTAAGAGACAGTTTGTTGTTTACAAATAGTTTTGCTCTGCTTTAGCTTGAGAATTCTTGGCAAGGAGAATATTAGCGCAGCATGGTATATATGTGCAAATATATGTGCAAATGAATGAAAAGTCTGAGAAGGGGGAGAAAAGCAAAGAAAGCTATTTATTAAAATATAGAGGTTGTATTATATTTGCCCTATTTTAGCAACTTCCAAAAAGCTAGCTAAATTCAGATACGGCACATTTATTCAGCCTTATTTATTAGTTGGTGCATGTAATGAGTTCGACCTGGACAAAATAAAGATTTACCCCTTGAGGCAATAAACAGCAAGCTGAAAGGATAATGGGTTAGAATGAACAACTATATTTGGCAAGATGATAGAAGTAGGGAAAGGGAAGGGGAAGACAACAGATAAGGGAATTGGGCAGGATTCGGAGATTGATGGAATGTCCTTGGAGGAACTACAGATTATCATTGAGCATAGGTTCAGAAGATAGGCATTTGGACATGAGTTTCCAGAGTTGAGTTGGGTCCAACTCAGTATTGCCTAACTGATACGTGTTTGTCCATTGTAAGTGTTGTATACATTTAGCCAATGCTTTTTAGGTTTTAAAACTTTTTTGGGGGGGGATTTTATTCAGCTTTTTGAAACTTAGCTGTCTAACTACAAAGTCAATGATTTAAGCAATCATTTTGAAAGTCCCAGGTTTGGTTGCCTTTGAACAAATATTGAGATAAGTATAATTACTGGGAAACTTTATTTAAAACAAGAAGAGATATAGATACTAATAAGAACTATAATAATTGGGGTGGGAATACCTCAAGCATGGGGATGGCTAGCCCCATAGAGGCCTTCTGCCTTCAGC